TGACTTGTACTCTTACGGTGTTAACGGGTCAATATCGGTATCGGTCAATATCGGTATCGGACAATTCTCAAAGTTGTAATATCAGTATCGTATCGGAAGTGAAAAAGTGGTATCGGGACACCCCTAGAGATGTTCATTCCCTTTCTCCTTCTGTTTTTATCATCAGTCAGCAGTGTATGACGGCTGAAGGAGAGGAAACCACTGAACATAACAGCCCCACAAACCCTCATTTAATAAACTGCCAGCTGTTTAAAAAAGCTTCCAGCAAAGACAGAGTCCTGGCTTGGCTACCAGAGGTAATACTGTTTCAAAACTAACAATTGCTACAATCTACAAGAATTGTTGTTTCTCCTTAAAACATACGGATACTCCAGCGTAAAGCATAAACAAACGCCGACACAGCACGAAACTGTGCAAATCGAAAGAAACTTCCTGAAGAACTCTAAGGCAGTAACTAAACCCAACAGGAAGAAGTAAACATGGCAGTCAGAAGACAAACTAAACAATTGTTATAAACTATTCTATGAAGTCACAATAACCTGAAAAATTTCTGCATGGATATAGTTCAGCAGAAGAGCAGAAGTAAGAGGAAAAAATAATAACAATTAGAGCAGAATCGACACAAAAATGGTGAGGAAATGGAGAAATGAGGAAAGAGGGAGTAGTAGTCTTGATGACCCCATGACTTACTTTTTTTTTTTCTATGCGTCACGTGTCCTAAAAACAGCTACAAAAGTAATGTTTTGGTCGTTTTCTTACAAAGATGTGCTCGTAACTACTGTAATATCAGGAAACTAAACCTGTCACTTTTAAATGAACTAACCATGACAGAAGGGGTTTAAATGAATTCCACAATAATTCTTAAACTGAATTGCACAGTAGAAAAGTGCAGCTAAACAGGCAAATACCAGCAGACAAAAAAACTAGGGAACCCCTAAAGTAATTAAAACTCATGTCAGTTGCAAAATGTCTGTGATGAGGGATGACACCTTGAAGAGTGCCTCTGTTCTTTCTTAAAAACAACTTTACGCATTGTTTCATACAACCGCCACAYCCAACCAGATGCCTGTTAAAAGTCATGTGAAACTCTTCTCTATAGATTTAGTACATTTGTGCTTCCTTAAACTGTAGACAATGAACAATTACAGCAGATGCCTCTGGAAATTTTATTAATTATTTTAGATTATTAATGTGAACAGTATTGTGTGTTGTTTTGTGATGTTAATAAGACAAAGACTTGTCCATCCAGCCTTACACATTGGAGCCAAAAAATAGAGAAAACTAAACGGGTTGAAAAATATGACTCAAACAGAATTTAAAGACATCTACGCAGCAGCAGGAGAGACTACATTCAAATTTTCTGCACTCCCAGAGACACCAAATTGCACAACAAAAAATGGATTTTGCATGATAAATGCCCTTTAATAGGGTTTTGGATGTATGACTTTGTGCACTTTTTATTAAGCATGAGAATATCTAAATCACTGTTTATGAAAATTAAACCATAGTAGGGTTGGGCAATATTGACAAAAAAATTAATCACGATTAATTGTGGTATTTAGCCGATAACGATTAATTTGACGATTAATCCCCTGGAGTCCCTGGACACCCTTATATCCTAGTCACATGACCAATTTATAGGGAGAAAATTGGCTCTTCGTAAAAATCTGTTCCAAACTGTGTCAAAACTACAGACTTCAGGCAACACATCAAACTTTAAATTGTGTTGATAAATAAATTACACAATTTTTTAAAATGTTGGTCATATTTGAATCAGAGAGGAGCACCAAGCGGTTAGTCTGCCTGGTGGCATTAATCGTATTAATTGTCAAGTGCCAAAAATTAATCGATTAATGTTTTTCTGGCGATTAATTGCACATGATACGATTATGCCCAACCCTAAACCATAGTCATTAAAGTTTCAAAAAAWTTTTTAATTTATTGGTAATTGTTATATAATCACATTGGAGCTAATTGAATCATAATTAATTTAAACTATGAGGTGCCTTAATTTAATACATATGCTGTGTTGTATTTGTTTCTGAGTTAAACTTGAGACAACATGAGTGCATTTAAAATGTTGCAAGTCAATTGTTGGGGTTTGGATCGAGTGGGCAGGGCCCTTAACTGGATGGGGTAGAGGTAAGATGATGCAGAGGCCAGTCCCGTCACCTCACAGCAGAAAGATTCTTGATTCACTTAGATTTCCTTTGGGTGCCTCCCTCGGTATAAAAATAGGATAGCTGGTGAATTGAAACTGTCCATAAGTTGTTCTAAACTCAAATGACTGTGATCAAGCTGTTGCAGGCATCACAGTAATTASATTTCTGGTAGGTTTATTCAAATTCAGACATAATTCATGGACATTCGTACACAACTTAGGAAATGCCTTGTAATGATTCACTGTGATGTCATGTTTCTCACTCATCAGTTTGACTTTATTGCTTGTTGAACTAAGAAAAGCCTCGATAGCCAGGTGTTTTCCACAGTCTGTTGAAAAGATTTGCTGGTGGATTTGAGAATCCAGTCACTGTAACTAACACGTTGCATATTAATGTGGTTCCATAATGGCACTTAGGCTGGAAACTCACCGGTCTGTCATTCCAATGGTTCCCGTTTAAACAAATCTAACTAAAAATGGGTTGAAGGGATAAACACCAAAGTGCAAAGAAATTTTAAACCATGCCACCACCAACAAATGATGGATGGCAACCATCCAGAATGCTCCGGTTAATCTCTAAAGAGAGCCTGCTCCAATTTACTGATCGTATCTAAACGATTCATATTCTCAAAATGTGTACCCGCAACACACAGACAGCTTTAAAAACTTCACTAACTGTGGAAAAACATTTTGCTGAAATGAGTCTTGTTTTTAAAATACATAACATCAAATACTAAAAGTGCAGCATGGAAATACTGAAGTATGAATAATGATCCTGCCTCATTATTTGTGGGTAATTCAAAAGTTAGATGCGCAAAATCTAAAGCACTATCAAAATTATTTAGGTTCACAAGTTCTAAAGAGCAAATGTCCAATAAAACTTAGTGGAAGCTAAACCTAAAGTGCAACTTTGTCTCAGAGGTCAATAGAGTATATTACAGTATTGATATCAGTCATACTTCCGCAATGCTGCTAACAAGGGGCACAACAGTTTATTTTCACAGCGTTGCCCATGTCACAGCAGTTTGGGGAGGCGATTTATTGAAATGGACTTTTGGCTCATGGTGTTAAATAAATGATTGTTGTGGATTTCTTGTTCTGCTGATTGTTGGTTATTTTCTTATGTTCATGGTAGGGCTTCGGTAAGAAAGCATGCAATATATTAGTAATTTTTAACTGTTTATTGTAGAACCGAAGCGATGCATTCTGGGTACCGGATGGAGAATAGCAAACCATCTTCACCTCTTCATGACAGAGGTCCTTGAGGACCAGGATTGAGAACCACACTGGTCTAGACCAATGATTCCCAAACTTGTCAGTTTTTGACACATAAAATAACAGTAGGAGAGATCTGTTCCCCCAACTGCTTTTGGTTGATCAACATCGGTATCAGGTTAAATAAACAAGGGCAATAGTGACAATATTCCCTATCTTAACTGTACTCATTTTAAGTACACAAATCTCACTCTTTTGTAACAACTAAGGCAAAAATTAGGGGTTCACCAGTTATAGTTTTTTGGTCGATCACCAATCTTTAAAAAGTCTGACTTGCCAATTCTGATTTTGGCCAATACCAATTCTTTCAAAAGCTGACACTGTTGGATGTTACAGTATAAGGTCACAATACACCTTCAATGTTCCAATCGTATGTTATAGAAAATCACTGAGCAATACCATTGAAACAATGCAAACTTGTTTTAACTGGATATTAGGTAGTGCTCACAGCACAGCAAAGGAGACAGTGGCTGGTTTTCAGACCTTTGTGGAAGTAGATGAGAAGCTGATCTTTTCCACCAATCTTATCTAAATATTGGTTGATCTCTGATCACCCGAAGTTAAGGAAATCCGTGCACCTCTACATAAAATATTGCTAGTTGTCATTTTTCAATGTAATTAGTTCTGAAATATTTTTCAAGATCCCAAGATATTTCAGGACCCACAATGGGTTCCTGACCCCAACTTTGGGAACCACCAGTCAAGACAACACATAAAGCTGCGTTACTGTCAAATAAAATGGAYTAAGCACAAAAGACTGGATGATACAGACAACTATGTAAATTGTTCTTCCTTGTATTAAGAAAGTCATACAAAGCTTTTGACAGAAGATGAAACCAAATGAGGTACAATCATTTTCATTCACTACATACCAGAAATTGCTATTCCTGCAGGGATAGTGTGTCAATGTACACAATCAAGATACAAAAAGGCAAAACGAAACCAACCTGGGAGAAATCTCCATTCCTTGGGAGGCTGAGGGTAGCAAAGTCCATGTCAGAAATTCCCTGGTAAAAGTCCGTGTGCATATCTGGAATGTTGGGGGTAGTGTTGCTGCTCAAGGGGTATTGCCTGGAAGAGAAACAGGATGTTTGGTTTGTTTAAGTACCACTTAGTAAAATGACACAGATAAACTTTGTATTCATTCAGTTAGACGTGTTCCCCTTACAGACGTAAAAGGTCAACAGCTTTCTGATTTTGAATTGAAAAAGTAGAAAAGGCACTATTTAAAATGATCCTATATTAAACGTAAGGGTCTTATTTAAAACAGGGACACCTATTTACTAAATGTTTTAATTATCATTAGTTTTTTTAAATACCTTAAATGAGCAGTGTCAGCACAAGAGTACAAGTCTGTTTTGAGAGATAAAGTTCAAGCTCCTTTAAAAACATTCAAAAATATGTGTAAAGTTAAAAACAACCAAAACTTCAACTGTCAAAGAGGTGTAGACAATAAGGAAACAGTTTAATCAGGTGTCAGGTGAGACAGACAGGCAGACAGATGAGCTTAGAGAACAAGGGTCATGTATAGGTTAGAGAACAAAAGAATAAGTTAGTCAAAAATAAATGCTCCTACCAGCTATGAAGCTCCTCTTTTCCTGACAACCAACCATCTCTTTGCCCAGAGTGTCAGCGTCTTACTCAAGTTGTATTCCCAACATGGCATATTTTCAGTTTCTCGCTGTGTCGTGCTATCAAAACGCAACAGCCCACAGTGCTGCTGACACTAAAGTGGGTGAATTCTCAAACCAAAAGCAAAACTAAAGTCATGTTGAAACTGTGCTATCTCGTGCTCCTTTCACCCAATCAGGTGCTGGAGCTCAAAGCTAACACAGCTGGAGCGTAGCCAAAAGCCTAAACTCTTGTGTTCTCAGAGATCAGGAAGATTGACTGATTCAAGTTTAAAACACACACAAAGGATGGCGTTAGACATCTAAACTAGTGTATGGAAGCCACAATTTACACTATGGGGAAAAGTTCATCATTACTGATCAATCTAAAAATAATATGGAGGGATAAAATAAAATAAAATAAAAACTATGACCTCCGCCTAACTGGAAATCCCCTTTGTGGTTTTCTTCCTCAACTCTGCTCTGACAGCAATATTATTACAGGAGAAGTCTTGGCAAGTCAGCATCAGCTGCTTCCATCAACAAAGCTGGTTAGAGGCTTACAGCCACAGAGCAGACTAACCTACAGCATTAGTTTACATTCAGCAGTACTTTAACGTGTTAAACTGCAGGTTTTATCATGTAAAAGTCATCAATGCTCCATGATAGCTGATTTGAGACAAAATGTTTAGAAACTTGCTTTATTGACAGTTTATAAGGTTTTCCTCTGACAACAAAGTAGAAGGAAGTTTATCAATGGGGGCTTTTAAAGGGAACCTCAACTAGTTGTAACATTAGAACTTATTTGATAAACATTTACTTCAAGTGTAAAACAAAGACTGTAAAAATACTGTAGGCTGTTTAGTTTTTTATTCGTTTCAAAAAATATATTGTCACACAGATGGCACCATATTATTAATGCTGCAAGCAGGTACTCCTCGCACCGGAGACAACAAAAAGCTTTGAACTGGMGAACCTAGTAAACGTCATCAGTATGCTTTGCAATGTAAATAATAAAGGCACTGTCCATGTGACAAGATATTTTTCTAATTCATAAAAACTAAACAGCCTACAGTATTTTTACATTCTTTGTTTTACTCTGGAAGAAAATGTTTATCAAATAGTTCTAATGTTACAACTAGTCAGGGTTCCCTTTAAATGATGTGATCACTGATAGTTCCCGTTTATAAAATTGTCTCCAGTTAAGTTGGTGCACTAATTTCTTAGGAAAAGAATGTGAAATTGAAAGGTTTTTAAACAACTTAACGCCATGTTTCGTCATGATAGTGTACAAATGTATAACTCCCAACACGTTACTTTACTCAGTACTTTCAGGTCACCAAAAAACAAATGCTCTTAAAAAGTAGTTCCACCGAAAGCAAGTTTTCATAGTGCTGCCTAAAGAGCTAAAAAGGAGACTACTTATTAGTATTTCATTGTAAAGAAACGCTTCTCTAAAGATTATCAACAGTTAAATGATCGTTCCAGAAAGAAAATTAACGATTATCAAGTGAAGTAAAGGTATGCCACACAAACAAGCTTCTCAGATTCTTTGGAAGAACACTTCCTTATTTGCAATTCAAACAAAAGCTGCTCACATTACCAACTGTGTGCAACAAATGAATGTTTTTAGCTGTGGGAAACGCTTCAGTCTGTCCAACAGCAGCTCAAACCAAACTTACAGAGAGATGGACTCCAAGAATCAACTTGTCCCGTTATCTTGTTGCATCAAAACAAAACAAAACACACCAGCATTGAAATAAAATAAAAATGAGACCTACAGTATGCCTGGATGGAGTCCCAACAAGCTGAAAATACATTTTAGTAATTTGATGTTAAGTCAAAACTTTAGCAGGAATTTGAATTTTCCCATTTTCTTTCTGCTCCTGACATTTTCAAAATTTCCATCCAAAGCTCGATCTTCTGACATTTGTGCACTGACCAACCAGAAACAATCACTGGTACTAAAATGGTTTGGCGTGTTACTCCAATGCTACGTTCACACCGAACGCGTTTTGAGCGGCAGGAGCGGCTGATTCACATGCAAAGTCTATGGTGGAGGCACCTCTAGGGGTCGTGCGTCGCATCACGTACGTTTTGGGCGGCGCGCAAGGAAGGCGGAAGGGGCGCAGAGCGTTTTCCGCGCATGCGGTGCTGCGGAAGCCGCCGCCGCCCGAGCCGCCGCAAAAGTTGAAATATCTGAACTTTTCGCCGCTCGACGCGTCTCCCACTGAAAACCGAAACAGACGGACTGGAGATCTTTACCTGAAATCGACCGTGTGCAGTTAGATTTTCTGGCAGGATATATCAGCACCGATGTGGATCAGCTGCTCGGGACAAAAAATAAATAAATAAAAGTCTGTTAGCTGGCAGCTTCTGGAGTGACAAAACTAACCGAACAAATCGCCTCTAAATCATCTGGTGAGTTAATTTTCTGCTGTGCGCAACGTTCGCTTGCTCTTTAGTAAATAAATCAAAGCCATTTTCTTTTATTTTATCTTTATTTCACCCGCCGAGGACACGCTCCTCCCACACCTCACTGCTGCCGCTGCTTGTTCTGGTCTGAACACTAGTGCGTTCTTCGGTCTGAAAATAGTGCGTCCAACGAGAGGCGTTTTGCGCTTTTTGGCCGCTCAAAACGYGTTCGGTGTGAACGTAGCATTATGTACGTTATGCCAATAAATCATAGCCGAAATCACCTCATGAGCGACTCTGGCTTCCAAAATTGCTCAGCTCATCTTTTTTTCTTCTTGACAGCTAATGATAAGGCTTTTATTCATTATATTTTGATAAAATACAATTTTTGTTAAGATTTTAGTCAAAACACTATATTTGTCTATTTCTCCATTTACCACTTTAGGACTTAAGCCTCGTTTCGATGTGATGGGTCACATTTCATTCTACAAAAAAATTCAGGATTTTTTTACTGTGTTCTGTGTACTTTTAAACTTCAATTTTTGTCATAAAAAACATTTCACTGCAAGTTGAACTTTGTGTATGTGATAAATTTATTTGATTTGATTGCTCCCATTTTTATCTTCTGTTGCTAACATATTTTATGAAGACAATGCATTCCACATACAGAAAAAGCTATTGAACATTTATAATTTTAAATTTTAGGTAAAAATGATTTTTATCAAAACCATAAATGTAATTTGACACTTTTTTATTGTTTATCAAGGAGTAATAAAGTACATAAATTCTTACATTCAATGTTGTCAGTACATCATCATGTCACTTTCCAATTAGTGTTTTCTGGAGAAGGAAAAGTGGCTGAATTTGTGCTTTGCTAACACCATCTCTGAAGTCTTTGTGTGAAAGATGATGAAGTGTGTTTAAGAGTACTTCTGTCATTAAAGCCCTGGAGTCAGAGTTGAAATGATGCTCTGCCTTGTGGCGTTTGAAATTTATCTGGTTTAGACGTTTGGGTTCCAGGTTCTTTGCTGTCCCCCAGACCTGTGACATACAATATTAGTTACAGTTCTATGGAGGTAAATTTGTGTTTTTATTATTCAATCAAACAAAAAGCATCTTCAATCAAAAAAAATTTTCAATCAAAAATATTTTTTCAACCAAACAAAAAATAAATTCAATCAAAAAATAATATTTTCAACCAAAAATAAATTTCAACCAAACTAAAAAAGCTATTTCAATCAAAAAAAAAAAAAAAAAAAAAAACTATCAAAACTTTTTTTGCAAAACAGAAACTTTTGGTTGAATCTCAAACTTTTGGTTGACTGTCTAAGTTTTTGGTTGACTTTCTAAGTTTTTGGTTGACTTTCTAAGTTTTTGGTTGACTGTCTAAGTTTTTGGTTGACTTTCTAAGTTTTTGGTTGAACTCAAAAAAGATTTGAACTCAGACATCACAAACTTGGGTAGTGGCGCAGGGAGTAGAGAAGCCAAGCTTGCGATCGGAAGGTAGCCGGTTCAACTCCAGGTTGGTCTCCATGTTGCACGTGTGTTCACATGTGTGATAGGTTAAATGCAGAAACTCAAMAGAGACCTATTATGCAAAATTCACTTTAAAAATTTTTTTTACTCAACTTTGGGTATGTACTTCTTAAGAAAACAGTCCTAGGACCAAAAAATGCACACAGGGGCATATTTACTGTAAATAAATGTATTTTAATGTATATTGAACAAGTTTTATACTTCCTACATTTTGTGATGTCACAAGCCGTACGACAACCCACCAGAACCTGCGTTCAGCCCCTTACCTAGTAACCCTCGGGTGAAGCTCCTGCTCCTCCGTATAAAAAGCCGTCACGGTTGTTGTTGTGTAATGTGCAGCTCATTTTATAACAAGCCTCCTATAGCACAGTGGGTAGAGTGTTGGATCAGAGGGTGGGAGACTAGGGATCAAGACTGACATGGACACAAAGAGTTTAATTTTTTATTTTTGTTTGTTATGAACATGTTTTTTCATGTACTTCTATTGTTTAGCTTATTAAAGCCTTGTTA